GTCGTGAGAAGGCAGGCAGGCGCTTTTCCAGGCATATCGGGGGTAAGGGGAGGCCGAAAACCGCGTCCCGACTGAATCGCCTCAGCAGAAGGCTTCAGGGAGCACAGTGCTCCTGGCTGGTGGGCCCAGCTTGTGGGAAGCTTAAACGTTTTGAGAGGAATTCCTGATACTGGGCAGAGAGAGCTTGGGGACTGTGCTACCGCGTGGAAAGAAGCCTGAAGCTGCGTGTCAGTGCATAGCCCTCCCCCTCCCCCCCCTCTTTGTAATGATTCCCTATTGATGGAGACAGTGTTTTGTGCAGTCTTAGTTCAGAAGCTGCATTCAAAAGCAACTAACTGCTTCTCCTAAATGTGAGCTGCAGCGCTCCTACTATATGACCGAGGTGAAAACAGGAAACAAACTCCCTGTGCATAGGCTCTTTACCAAGACATGTTGGACCATTTTCTTCCCTGGGCTTAGGACTGCTGCTCTTGTGTTGGTTGTCGAGAACATTCATTTCACCCCAACCACCCCCAGCTGTTCTCATCATCCTCTTCGATACAGAAAGCAGCTGACCTCTGTAAGGTAGTGTAACATTGCAGTTTCCAGCAAGCATGTAGTCTGAGCCATCAAAACAGTTCATACAGAGGAACTGTATGTGGAAGAAATGGCTCCTTTTCAGTTACAACTTCTTGAAGTAATAATGCCCTTCTTCATGGCTCACAATTTTGGCACAGGAATGGCTTTTGGCAAACCCCCTCCAAATAATACTAAATTTGCTAATTTGTTCTTTCCCACCATCAGGTTCCAGAGCAACACGTAACTGATGCTTCATATGAAGGAATCGTCATAGGTCAAACGTAAAAAGTGGAACAGGCTGCACAGATGTCAAGAGAAATCTGGGGATACTAGTGCCTGAAACGATGCCAGCTCTGTGTAAACTGAAAGCAGGTGATTACAAACCAGCTTGGTTCTCACCCCCCAGGCAGTAGCTAATCTCCTGAGAGCCCTAACTGGCTAAGTACTACCCACGGGAGAGACATGTAGGCTCTGCTTCACCTACTGCGGCTTTCCACTCTCCACATGACTACCCGTGTGTGCTCGGAGAAGGGTCAGCCCCTGTGCCAGGTTGCTCTCCCTCCCTAGCTGGGCAGTTCTGCAACGAGGACTCCAGTCGTTTGCCCTTCTCTCATTCTGCAGTCTCCTAAACAGCAGCTGAGGACAGGGTAGGATCGTCAGTACATTAATAAAGCACCAATCATTCCAGTTCAGCTGAATCTGTTAGAACTATAGGCAAAGTTTTCTTGGAGACTCTAGACAGTTCCCCCTCTGCCACCTAAAATACCATCACATTTCATTTTGAGCAAGAAAATGAGATAAAAATTGATCAAATAGTTCTAAGTTAACTGAATTATGACAAGCAAGATTTAATTTAGCTTTAGTAAGAAATCGGTATTTGTGTACCACACGTTTGCTGTGAATTCATTCTCTTCAGTGTTATAATAAAGAGGCCCTTGCTTTGGAAATCCCTCCATAGTGCCTTCTGATATAATTGAGGTTTTGGCCTTTTTTTCACAGATTCTTACTTCTGGTGATTTTAGGGTCACTGTTTGGCAGGCTAAAACTTCATAAAGAAATTCTGAGAGAAACAGTTGGCTTGGTTTTTAAGTACTTTTTTTTCCTCCTCCTAGATAAAACTTGCATAGAAAATAACCTTTTTCTTTTCCCTTTTGTTGCAAGATTTCAGGTGACAACTGCATGAAACTTTGAAGCTTCCTCACTGGGAAATCAACAGATAGATGGCGGACACAGTCTTTATGTGTTTGCTTCACATTTTTATTATAAGACAGGTAGAGTCTCTGCACAGAAATAAATTTCTCTGTCATTTAATCAGGTCTAATATTTTGGGGGTTTTTCTGTTATTACATGACCATTCCTCCCTGCAGAGACTTTTAGAACAGTTTATGCCTATATTTTTTAAGATAACCAAATTGTTCCATGAGCAGCAGCGCTGATGCCCGGTTTCCTACAGATCTGTGTTCTTTGTCCCTCCAATCCGCCCTGCTGTCCCAGCAGCCCTACCTTCTCTTTGTGTGTCCTGTAACACTCCCCTCTAAGGAGCCACAGGCAGCATGAGGTACGGTTAGTCCAGGGCTGTAAACCTGTGCACACCCACAAGCAGGCTGCTGCCAAAGGACCCACACCATGCCCAAGCTCCCTCCTGCCTTCCCACAAGGCTGGCAATGATTATTTCTCTTCTCCAGTTCTCACGGAACTTGAGATTCCCTCCTCCTCCCTAAATGTTGAGAAGGAAAAAAGGAGGGAGCTAGCCTGACAGCTGAATAAAAGCAGACAGACTGATCACATAAGCCTCATTTTCATTAGGAAGTCTAAAATACATCGTAACCTGCCAGTTTTCTTCAAACTCTTCAAAAGTAGGCAGTGAGGGCACCGTTCTGATTCTTGCCCTTTAGGTTTCTTAAAACTAATTGCTAGTAGTATGGCACTACATCACACACTTTATCCTGCTTCCTCTAATAGAACACCATCCTGTCATGGATTTTTTTTTTCTTATCTTTCTTTTAGAGTCTCACAGCATCTCAGTATTCTTTAATTCTGCTCAGAGGAGGCTCTTGATTACACCGTGCTGTCCACCAACTCTCACAGGGACATCAATCTGCGTTAGTTCCAGCACTATCTACAACAGACCTGCATCTCCATCGCCTGTGACAGTTCACAACAGAAACCCACCATAAAGGCACGCTGGGATACCCCCAGGGCAACCAGATCTAAGTTTCGAGATGGAATCTGATCTGCACGGATACTTCAGCTTCTCCGAAGTTACTGTTAGGTGACGACCGTGCTATTTCTAACCAGTCCTTGGGGATTCATCCTGGGGTGCAGGAAGGACACTCTAAATGAAGGAACAGCAGTAACCACTGGAGGAGCTGCTACCATCACACCTGAGTGCTTGATGAGGACTTCACTTCCAGAGGTTTAACAGCAGGCACTTGGCATTACCCTTATAAATAACATACTTAAATAAAGGTTACTTCTTATTCTGCTCTCATTTCTGAGGAATCTGCATTTACCTACCTATCTCACACGCGGGTCTCCAGCACAAGCAGGGCTAGTGCAGCAGAAAGGCAGGAGCATCTGCCTCCTGAGAGGACACTGTTCCCAATGAAGCAATGCGTCTCTCTCCAATCAGTCCACCTGCAGAGTATGCAGTTCCCCGCTTGCTGAGAAAGGTCTGGTTCGTCGTGAGTAGGAGGTGTGTGCCCATACACGTGCAAAATAAAGCACGGTCCATATGCAAGATGAAACAGGAGATCAGCTGATGGACACCTGCAGTGAGGGCACAGAAAGCTGTAAGGAAGGGCAAAGTAAAGCCAGAAAGCTTTTTTAAAAAAACAGGCCTGTATGGACATTCTAGCTTTCATTTACCAACACTGCTCTTTCAGACAGAAACAGAACAAGTGGGAAGCAGAGGGATGGATTGGGAGGGAGAGAGGCTCTGTTTCAGCAGAAACACTGACTACATCCGAGTGACCTGCTCCTCTCCCTTCCTCCAGGGCCCTTTCCCACAATGTCTGCTCGGAATCTGAGGGCCGAGTGCTCCAAGGAGAAATGTATTCATTTATGAATGACAGTACGATGACGTAGTTGCCCGTGACAGCAGAGGATAGCAGCCTTCAGAGCCTGGCTGTCCCTGGGCTGCTTCCCCAGGGCGGAGCACACTGCCATGCAGACTTACGTACTGTGCCAACCTGACTACGTGCACGGCTAAGGGGGAGAACAACTTCACCTGAGTTGACGTTAACACTGCGTCTCTCCCTTTGCCATCTCCCGGCGCTTCCATCTCCTGCACACGTCACTTGAACAGACCCATGCAGTGCTACAGAGAAGGCTGGATTGCTCCTGGCACAAGGATACTTAACACAGGCCAACAGGAGGTGAAGCCCAAACACCCAGCCTCTGAGCGCTGCGGATCCCACGCTGGCATGGGCCCCCTGTGACTCACCTGCCCTACCTTACCTGTGAAACAGGGAACGAACTCCTTGACCATGCTGTGTGAGAACAAACACTTTAAACAGGGAAAGCACTACCTCCTTTGGATCAACATTAAGTTTAATAATTCCTCGTTCTTTCCCTTGCACGTGACAATTGTCACAGCCCCAGATTCGAGCACTTTCAGCTCAGACAATACACTCCTGCACTGCTATCTTTAATTGGCACTTTCCTGCCAAGCCTCAGCGTTTTGCATGGGTCTGTTTCCACATGAGAGCTGCCACAAACAAAGCAGCCCGCTGACCCACTTAACTCCCACGTGAAGGCACACGAAGCTTTGCTTCGGTCACCAAACAGAAAAGAAAATGTGAGAGCAGAAGGTTTTGATTAAAGGGAAGTGAGCAAATGGCTTCAAGGCTCATCGTGTGCACATGGGCACGTCTGCCTGCATTCACTCCTTGCAGAAATTTGGCCACCCAGGGAGAAATGCCACATGCAAAGCAGGTAGCCCTCACGCAGTGTGAAATGGGTTTGATTTGAGATTTCCCGTTGGCACGAAGGTCCTGTGAGCCATGAAACATTGCCACAGGCCTCTTCCTCTGACCTGGAGTGACTGCCTCCAAGGAGGCAGGGGACGTTTCATTCTTCCTGGTCACAAACATCAAGGAAGGTACCAATTAGTGTTAATTGTGGCGTTCTTTGTTTTGTGACTGAGTCTGGGCTGAAACCCCCCCAAAACTGAACACAGGCTACTGGCAACAGCTTTCCACCCTTTCTGACCCGAGCTAGGTTTAATGCAGTAGCCTAAGAGCAGGTCTCCAGCCTTAAGAAGGATTGGAACTAGGTCTCATATTTGCATCGGAGACCGCATTTTTCCTGGCTGCCCTCAGGCCTCTGGGAAGAGACATTTACAGGTCAAACTAACGGGAGTCCTGTTTTTGTCTTGCACTTAAATTTACATTAAACAACA